GAAACTACAACATAACCAAAAGGGCAAAACATACAAGCAATGACCAACCCTAATGAAACAGATATACAAACTATCTGAAAAGAATTCAAAATAGTTGTTTCAAAGAACCTCAGAAAAGTTCAAGAAAATACACAAAAGCAATTCAGCAAATTGAGGAAAACAGTAAGTGACTGGAGAGAGAAAATTAATACAGATTAAAATAATATAAAAATGTAACCAAATCCTGGAGCTGAAAATATAAGGAACAAGACCAAAAATGAAATAGAACAAATATCAGAACTGATCATGCGGAAGAATCTGTGAATTTGAAGACAAATTATTTGAACATACTCAGAGAATAAAAGAAAAACAGGATGAAAAAGAATTAGGAGGTTTCGTAGAATCTTACAAGATAGCATGTAAAAAGCAATGAACAGGTGAAGAAAATATGGCATTTTCACAGGCAATACTATTCAGCCATATAAAGAAAGGAAATCCTGTCAAGTACAACAAAATGGATAAATTTGAAACATATTTTGTTAATTAAAATAAACCAGGCACAACTACAGCACCATATCACTCATATGTGGAAACAAAAAAATATTGATCTCAATAGAAGTAGAGAGTAGAATGATGCTTACCAGAAGGGGGTATGGTTTAAAAGATAATTGAGGAGATATTGGTCAAAGATTAAAACTTTCATTTATATAAAAGAAAAAAAATTTTGCCTTTTTTGAGACGAGCTTATTTCACTCAGCATAATTTCCTTGAGGTTCATTCACATTGTAGCATAGGTCAGAATGTCCTTCATTTTTAAGGATAGGTAGTATTACTGGTTTCATTTTCAATACAGTGACAGTGTCTTCTGATGAGTTAAAACCATTCACTTGTTTGGCTTTTTCTTCTCTCCACAATCTTACTTTTACTATTCTTATTTTTGTTTTAGGAAAAAAAATGCCTTTTTGTTACTTTTTTCCTCCCAGTTTTGGAAGATTTACTAGGCTAAAAATTTTTTCTCTAAAATATTCTCTAAAGTTTTGAACTTTAAATATTACAATCACATGTCCTCGTTCCATTCTTCTAAAAATTCTTAAACTTTCTGGCCTCAGGATTCCTTTATACTTCTATAGGTTGAGAACCTCAAGGAATGGCTATGTAGGTTGCACACGTATATCATTATTTACTGTATTAGAAATTAAAGTAAAAAGCTTTGAAGAAATTTATTCACTCTTCTACAATAAACCAATTATATGTTAATATAAAAATTTTATAAGAAACAAAAACATTAACGGCAAAATTTAACAGTTTTGCAAAAATTTTAATGGCTGGCTTAAGAGAAGACCACTAGAGAAAATAGAAAGGAAAAATGGAAACAAAGCTTTTGTACATAGGGACGGGAGGGGGCTTGAAGGGTGGAATGGGATAAAATAAGATTTATTAGTTTTAAAAAAAGAAAAAACCACTGTTTTGGTTGTGCTGACATTGTCAAGTCACTCCCTGGAAGACTCAACTTGTATCAGGAAAATGTAAAAAGCAAGTTAAGCTTGGGGCCGGGGATTTAGCTGTGGTTTCAGTTCTTGCCTCGGAAGCACAAGGTCCCGAGTTCGATCCCCGGTACAAAAAAACCACAAAAAACAAACAAAACAAAACAAAACAAAAAAAGGCAAGCCAAGCTTAGTCTTAGTGAAAATAGTTTTGTCTTTGTAGGTAACCTCTAAAATCACTGAACTTGCTCTTTAAACTGTTTTAAATATTAGCTCTTTATCATGAGAATACGACCTCTGTTGATTTCAGCTTTCTCAATTGTTTCATAGTATTTGGCAGCTGCTGGGTTAGGTTTATTAGTAGCTGATTTCAGGACAGTCATTTTTTTTTCCCTCAGTACTGGGGATTGAACCCAGGGTCTTCACACTGAGCTATGTCCCCAGCCCTTTTTAAAAATTTGAGACATAGTGTCACTAAATCACTAAATTACCCAGGCTGGGCTTGAACTTGCAATGCTTCTGCCTCAGCTTCCCACAGTGCTGGGATTACTCGTGTGTGCCCCACAATGACCAGAAACATCCTCTTTCTTATGGGGCTCTAACAGGCTCTGTATATTCCCCTTGCATGAGACACGTCACTTCATTCCCTCCCATGCTGTTATCACTTTAATAAAAAAAGAAATCAGTTTATCTGCTCATCAGTGGTACCTCAGTTCCACTTCTTTCTTATATTATTTGTTTTTCTTCTCAAAAACATCCTTTAGTAAAAAAAAAAATCCTTTAGTGATTATTTCATACATATCCTGTGTGGTACATTTTGAGGGCATGCATTTCTAGACTGTCTCTATTTTGTCCTTTCAGATTCTTCCCAAGTGACCTTATTTTATACACACAAAGTATGAAACAGACTTTCAAATTAATACTCTCCGAATATGTAAGGTTCATATCATAACCTGAGTCAAAACTTGTTTTCTCCTCCTGTTTTTGGTTCTGAGACAGGGTCTACCTATATTAACCTAGGGTAGCCTTGAATTACCAATCATTCCTCTCCCTCAGCCTCCAAAGTACTGGGATTACAGGCATGTGCCACCAGTCTGGGCTCTACTACTTGTTTTTAAGGGCCTTTTTGCCTATTCAAGGATTTATATAGCTCAAGGTTAAAGGTCCAATTCCAAGCTCACTCTTTTAACATTTACATAGCAAAGACAGGTTTGGAGTAGGAATGGGAAGTTCCCCAAGTCAGCCTTCCAACTGAGATAACTGAATGTTCAGAAATTTTACTAATATTTCAAGGTTTACTTCCAAGTCATATATCTAATAATGCCAAAAAACACCGATCTAACAATCCTCACAGGACCCCACAACTCTGAATTTAGAATGGACGTTAGCAATGTACATCAATTATTTCATCCACAAATGAAAAATTGGTTACTAGCTTGTTTACAGTCATGTGGGTAACATCCAGAAGCCTAAAATTTTCTTATTCTATTTCTAGAATTTTTTCCATCTTGCTATGTAAGTATCCAATTCATCACTGTTTAACCATTCCATGGTCTCTACTGGCATATTTGATTTTATATTCTTTTATTAATCGTTGTTTCACATGCTTAATATTTTATAGTTCAAACTTATATTTAATAAACAAGTTCTTTTAAACCAGTAAATGTTAACAGTTAGCTATATAGGCATCCCTTACTATCTGAATTCTTGCCTAATATCTACTGTAAAACGTGAAATTTTTTACTCCCTCAAAATTCACTACCAGAATCTATAAATTTTTTAGATGTATTTTTGTACTTAAGGCAATGAAAATGTTTAAATTCAGAGAATGCCGACTACACTTGCTTTCCTGTTTTTTTCTGACAGGATCACAAACTGTTCTCAAAAATGTTTAAATATGTTATACACTGTCACTATAATCTTCCCAAATTAAGTGGATTTATCTTCCAAGTAAATGAAAAGGATTATGAAAAAATTATTTGAGCTAATGGGGGCATAAGCCTAGCTGTGCAATCACTTCCGTCATCACGGTTTAGTTACATGGGGGAAAAGAGAAAAATTTATGAAAATATTCTTGGATCTAAAAAGAGCCAATATATAAATGGAACATAAATAATGATTTTAAAAATATAGATATACCTTAATATAGTGGACTGATAGTCATAATTAGTGTTTAAAATATTTTTTTATATAGAATCCTTAGTAGATTATCAAATTATGGATTTCAAACTGGCAAAAGGCCACCTTTGTTCCCGTGCCTTAAAAGCCCTGGGCATCATTTACTGACAAATGTCTTAGAACAGGGTTCTCTACTGTCCTGCAGTTTGAATGAAGCTTGTTTCACCACCATCTGTGTTGAAATTTTTCCATAGTATTTTAATTATATTTGGAGAAACTGCTCAGGAATCTGGAGTGTAATTATTATTTTTCTCATTTAAGACTTAAAAATTATAGATTTGCTATTCTAGCTAAATTTCAGAAATTGGCTAGAAAAGAATAGTAAGGGATACCTGTATTTATTTTAAATGTAAAAAAGTAATTTAGTGTCTTAATACACAGAGGATGATCTTTGGATTATTTCTAACAACTGAGTGCTGGTTAGAAATGTAGCTATTTGGGCTCTACTCTTTTTACTAAACCAGAATCTGAATTAAAGATGCCAGAGACAACTTACATGCATCTTAAAGTCTGAGAAGCTCTGGTAGACAGAGTTAATTGCCCATTAGCAAACATTCCTATTTTCTTCCTTAACAGATTCTGCTCCCAACTCCCACCCTTAACTCAGGGCAGGGTGAGCCTGACTGGCTGGGAATAATCACATTCCCCCTGACAATGACTAGTTCAGGAATGGAGTGTAACCCAAATCTAAACAATGAAACTAAGTGCAAACTGGCTGGGGGCACTTCTTTTAAAAGTTTCTTCCAGCCAGGGATTTAGCTCAGTGGTTCTGCCACCTGCCTCGAAAGGGCAAGGTCCTGAGTTCGATCCCCAATACTAAAAAAGTTTCTTCCATATCGAGTCCAAGAGTTTCTCTTTGGACACTATCATGTCTGGGGTGAATACCAAAAACTGCTGCATATATTTTCTTGCAGCCTATGAAAAAAGATAGCATCATGGCTTGAGGAAGAGAGGGGTAAGCATTTTGTCTATAAGGCACTGCAAGTGTAAAGTTTCTAATCCTAAATAGCTTTGCAATATAGTATCTTACTTAATAATACAAATGATATTCCAGATATTTTTACAGTGTAATATTTGGTGAAGTTACTAAAATTCTAAGGGAAAAAAAAAAAATCAATCGTCTCAAATAATAAAAGATATCTACTAGAAAAATTAGTGCAAATTCATAGCAGTTGATAAACTGACATTCAAATTTAAAAAATACAATTTTTTTTCTTGAAACAAGATCTTGCTATGCAGTTCAGGCTGACCATGAACTCCCAGTGATCCTCCTGCCTCAGCCTCCCAAGTGCTGCGATTAATAGGCGTGGGCTACCATGCCCAGCGAATATGTAAATTTTAAAAAGAAAAGTACATTACCTTTTAAAAGATGATTTAGGTCCATTGTGTCATGTAAGACTTTTTGCTTACACCTGTGATCTGAACTGGAATCTAATACTGGCGACTTCAGGGTGAAATCAGACCCATGTTTTTCCTTCCCTTTCTTGCCTTTCAAGCATTTTGAATCATTTTTTAAAACCTCAACATGTTCATATAATCCTTGACTCACATTTTCCTGTCTTTTAACTTTTACTTTTTGGTCATGTGATGTGCCCAGTTCAAAAGACTGAACAGGGCTGATGTCTGGAGTTGATAAAGGAGTCACATCTGTCACAGTATCTTCAGATTCCTCAGTATAGTCACCAATTTTTGGCTTAGTACTTGAAGGTTGTGTTCCTGTTGATTTTATTCCTGATTTATATTTTTGTTTTGGTGATAAGAGGGTTATTGTATGTTTCTTTGATGATGGACGTGAATGAGATTTAGAAATATCAGGTCCTGCATCTGAACAGTCTGTACCTAAACTTGAAGATGAGGAAGACAAAGAAGAAGAGGAGGAACTAATTTTGGAATATTTTTTATTCATGCTTTTTTTTAAGTTATGAGATGGTTTAGCTGACTTGGATCTCACATGACGCTTTTTTCCATCATCACTGCTTTCCTCTCCATCCGTGTAGTAGTCATCCTCACCTTCTTTTACAATTTTGGGAATTCTATTTGGAACGGGCAAATGTATTTTATGCCTTGTTGTAGCATCAAACAATTCTTTTGATCTTGAATTGGTCAATGATAAAGAACTTCTGGTCTCTATGTCATTCTCTACAAGATGTTCATCTGGAAGATTTTTCATGTTTCTTTCATTTCCTTTGTCAGTAAGATAATTTTCCTTTGTTTGTATTCCAAATGTCAAGTTCGTATTTTCTGTATCCTTAACTATTCTCTCTTTAGAGTCATCACTTTGCTTGTCAAAAACTAGGTTATTTTCACATTTCTTTGCTTCTTCAAAGTCACTATCAAAAAAAGAATGGTCCACTTCACCATCTGATATATCTCCAAACCGATCCATGATGATAAAAATGTGTCTGAAAAAGAGAAAAATGTAACTATCAGATTAAAAAGTAATTTCCAAAAGCTGTTTTTGTTAATATGGTATGACATAATTTTCCCAAACCAAGAAATGTGGTTGATATATAAAGAGAAAAATTATAAAACAAAACTAAAAATAGTGAACTGATGATGGGAATCTAGGGTTTATATCAAGTTATACCAATGTGACAAAAAAGTTCACAAAAAAACTATGGATCATCAAGGCAGGCATATCACAAACATGGGTACTTAGGGAAACCTGCCTTTCATAAATTAAAAAGTCTAGAAGGAAGGATGGTACTAAAACCTTGTAAGAGCAGCTAATGGCTTAGCCAAACATTATTCTAATGGAAGTAACATAACAATTGACAAATTTCCATATTTCAGTACTTACTGTCTTTGTCCTATTCTGTTCCTTCAATGCAGTTATAGAGGAAACAGAAAATAACATATTATCCCTATTAAAAGTAAAAGTTCTACCAGGCACAGTGGCACAGGCTTATAATCTCAGCTACTTACAAGACTGAGGCAGGAAATCACAAGTTCAAGCCAGGCCTGGGCAACCTAGTGAGACACTATCTCAAAATAAAAAATAAAAAGGGTTGGAGATGTGGCTCAGTGGTAGGATCAATTCTGAGTACTGGGGAAAAGAGGAGTAGAAGCAAAAGCAGTGGAAAGACCTTACTCTGTCCCTTCTTATTGAGGTACAAAAACTAAGGTACACACACAAGCTTGCACAGGTAGCCTGGAGTCAAACTTCTAATATTTAATCACCAGCTCCATTCTGAGTGCAATGTTGAGGCAGAATGACTTGGTACCTCATGTATGCAAATAGATAACCACCAAATGTTGGATACATCAAACTTAAAGAATACCCTACTGCTGCACAACATAATCATAAGGGACAAACCAATAAATACATTAATAATGGGGGCCAGGGATTTAGCTCAGTGGTTTCGCTGCCTGCTGCGCAAGCGCAAGGACCTGAGTTGGATCCCCGGCACCAAAAAAATAATAATAATAATAATAATAAATTACCATCTGTAAACTTAACAAATTAAATCAGAGATATAGATACTACATGATGTATCAAGGCCACATCAGAGAAAACCAGGCCCAAGACTTGTTAGACGTACCAGGCCAACAAATAATGCAACTCCCTGACTTGGACCCAAAGGAAGGGTACCCAACAATATGAGTACAAGGGCAACACACACCAACCCATCATCTCATCAGACTATCTGCTGGATGAATACAAAGTCGGCAGGTGAGGAACACTGGTATTCTGCTCCCAGGCCTGGGCTCCACTGCATCTCCCTGCTTGACATAGCCCACTCAAATTGTCTGCTGTTTACACTTGGGCTTTGAACCAACTCCATGCTCTAAAAAAGTACTGTGTTGACCCTGGAGCCTCAACCTGGTCTGTAATCTTATCTGGCCGCCTGTGGTGTTTTCACATCTCTGTGGGCTCCTAAGCTTCTGTAACCTATGTATTACTTGATGAAGTGTGATGTGTGACTTGAGTGTGACAAATATTAGTAGTTAAGATTGGAATAAAACAACCTGCAATTGCTTAGCTCACTGGATATCAAGTGAAGCCTAGTACTCAGCAAGATATGGCTGAATAAAATTGAACAGTTTCTGAAATTATTATTCAATAAAGTCAGTCTGGGAGGTAGAGGTAGGAGAATCACAAGTTCAAGACCCTGGGCAACTTAGCAAGACGCTGTCTCAAATTTTAAATATTTAAAAGGATTAGTTAGGGGTGAGGATCAGAGTGAAGGCCCTGTGTTCAATCCTTGGGACAGATGGAGTGGGTTGGGGGGAGTCTGACACTGTGGAAATACAGTACACAAATGTGTCTGGTCTATGTTAATATAGATTGCTCACAACATATGCATAAGTTCAATACTAGAAGAAATGGACTAAAACTTTCAAAACAGTTGCCTCTACTCTGGGGCAGGAGCCACTGTTTTTGTTACAGACCTTACATTACTAATTGACCTATAAACTTATGTATGTAATACAGTTATATTTTAAAAAATTATTTCAAATATCTTAATATTCCACACAATTGGAATTAGAAAAATCACACTATAAAGTCATAAACTTAAAAAGCTATTTCCCTATATTATTAAAGCCATCTAAGAAGCAGTATCACATTCTTGAGTTCAGAATTTGATCTCTAATACTATTATCCACTAAAAAAGCCCAGGATTCCCTGGAAGGCAGCTGATAATTGCTGAAGACAAAGAAAAACAGCCATCTTATTGGAGGATTTTATTGTTGCCAGAAAGCACAATTTTCAAATATGCCTGGGGTAGTTAAAATTAAACAAAGAATACAGTTTTAAAAGGGTGTCACTTTCTATACTAGACAATTCAGCAATGAGAAATAATAAAGAGAAAATATATATAAAATAAAAATAATAATTCTGTGGAAAGCCATGAGTTCATAATGACATTCAAAAGACATAAATAATATGCACTGTTAAAGAAAAAGTATATATGTAAATGTTTACAATAATCTCTAACTAATAATGCAATTTTGTGCTCTTTATATTCAAATTATAACTAATTCCATTATATCAAGTCAGGCAATAAAAGATTACATAATGCACAGCCTAACAGCCAGCATACTCTGCAGCCTTTAGTTGTTTAAGTGCCTGCAACCTAAGGGAAGACATAAAAACAAGTATACCTATGATTTACAAATAAAGCAAACTTTTATTACTAATTATAATGTGGTATGTTAATATAACGGTTTACCCAAATGTGGTAATACATTTCATCATCATTAAATAAATCTTGTCTGCCTTTAAGGTTTTGAAGACTTTAGAGATTTATATATATTAGACTTGTAAATTTGTATGTATTATTATTTTGCAGTGTTCAGATCAAACCCATGGCCTCAAGTACACAAGGCAAGTACTCTACCATTGAGCTACATCCCCACTTCTTAGACTTATAAAAATTTAACTGTAATCTACTTTTAAATGCTTAAGGAAATCTGACTGGTTAAATTAGTACATTTAGTCTTAGTTTACAAACCTGTTGGTATGCAGGAAGATTTTCTGTATTAGATTTATAAGTGTACTTTCTTAGGTGTTTGAAGTACTTAAGAAAATTAAAATACAGAAAGCTGTGATGGTAAGTTTGCAAATAGTGTACAATGGTCAGTGAACTTTAATATATTTTATAAGCTAAATGAAGATCAAAGTAGAAGTGAGCTTTAAAATTTTAACATAGGGCCGAGGATGTAGCTCAGCTGCATAGCACCTGGCTGGCAAGCACAACATCCTGAGTTTGATTCCACGTACCAAAAAAAAAAAGAATTTTAAAATAAAATTAGGTTTAAACAGAAATGTTTATAAGTACATTTTAATATTTAAGAAACATTTCAGGCTGGGGATTTAGCTCAGTGGTTTTGTCGCCTGCTGCGCAAGCACAAGGATCCGAGTTCAATCACTGGTACCAAAAAACAAAAAAGAAGAAAAAAAGAAACATTTCTCTGTAAAATGTACACCTAATAAATATTAAAATACAGGATTATTTTTCATTGTATAAATTAACACCCTCTTTTAATTTTCATTTCTGGATATTTATCCTAAGAATATAACATCCAAGAGAAAATGGTATTAAGTTACAGAATTACTTGTAATATTGTAAAACTTATATACAGATAAATTATGATGGCATTAAAATAATTATTTAGATCCAGGATCAGCGAACTACTGGTCAGGACCAAATCTGGCCTGTCATCTGTTTTTGTACATAAAGTTTTATTAGAACACAGCCCATTCATGTGTTTACATCTTGTCTTTGATAGCTTCCATACTAGAACTGCAGAGCTGAGTATCTGCGTCAGCCTATGACCAACAAAGACCAAAATATTTACCATCAGACTCCTTACTGAAACAGTTTGCAGATCTGATATAGATAACGTATCAGCATGAAAAACACAAATATAAAGCTGTCATTTATACTAGATTAATGATACAATTTATTCATTTAAACAAAAACTAGGGGGACAAAATAGAAACTAAGAATTGACCTATTAGAAGAAAAATCACCAACAATCCAATCCCACTGGAACTTTAAAAAATTTCCATTACTGTTACTTTAAAAATATTTGTGCGATAAATGATGAATGGGAGTCAGGTTGGTGTTTGAAAAACAATGAACTGAGTTAGACAACCCCCAAGCTTAAAGCTTGGTTCTACTTCCTGGCTGTCTAATCCTGGGCCTATATAGAAGAAATGTTCATTATGACACTGTAATAGCAGGGAATTAGAAACAATCTCAATGTCTACTAAGAGGAATAAATTAAAATGTTATATAAGCATATGCTATTTTAGTCAAAAAGAATAAGTTGAGATCTACAGAAATAATGTTGACTAAGAAAGGAGATTTAAATGAGCAACAATACTGTAATTGTATAAAACTTAAAACATACACAAAACAATGCTACATTCTTCCTGGGCACAAACAGAGAAACAGTTATAGAGCATGGATTGGAAGGACATACATGAAAAACCTAAAAGTATAACCTTATGAGGAAGTGGAAGACTGAGGTGGGGTAAAAACATAATTGGGCAAGGGCCCATAATCATGGGTCCTCACAAACCTAAAGAGTATGACTAATCATACCAATCCAATTCTGCCCACTCAAGTTCAAAAAGAAAAACAAAGCAAATCCAAACAGCCACTGAATGAATGGTGGACAGTTTTCGTAACAGTCCCAACGTAACATTAGACGCCCCCAAAAGTTACCCTTTTTGGTAAGATAATTTACCTTTAAAAATAAAATGTAAAGTTCTGAAATAAACAAATTACTGTTTTTTCCTTTCTCACTTCGACATTGTTAAGAACATCCTTGCAATTAAAAGTATTTTTATCAATTTCTTCAAATTTCAAAAAAAAAAAAGTTTCAAAGCATAGGCCAGAGTAATATTTTATAAACTGCAGATCACAACCCAATGTAAAATGAATTTAAGTCTTTTTAAAGGAAATACAATGCAATAATCAAATATATTACTCATTTACCAGTACTACAATACAAGCAAGAAAATGGAATGAAAGTTTAAACTTTGGGTGCTACTAGAGACAGTTTCAGCAGTTTCAAGGGTCATAGGCAATATTACATTATCTAGGACAACTCTGCTTTGTTAATGGATTGAGGCAACACTGGAATAAATCAGGAACCAGTTTAAGCAGCACTGGAATTTCAATTGCAAATATAGAAGGGATATTTTCTTGAAATTGAAGAAACTGAAAATAAAATTATAAAAAAAGATGACTACAGGGTGAAGGTAAGATCTTAAGCAGAAAAACAATTTTAAAATTATGATACTTATAAATTTTTATCAATGGTTTGCTCAGAATTAGTACTAGCTTTAGATGATTTAATTTCACTGAATGCTTCCACTTGATTTTATTGGGCAATATATTCATGGAAAAGCTTACATTTTTTTAACATTCTAAAAAACAAATCGATGATTCAGATTATTCCAACCCCATTCCCCAGAAAAATTTGTTTAAATTTTAAGGAAATAAAATTACTAGCATAAGCAAACTTCCCTTGTATTAATGCTGTTATTCTACTAACAGCTAAATGCAGTATTTACTATATGCTAGCAATGCTCCATGTACAACTTTAAGACACTGTATCATTAACATTTACCAGTAAGAAAACGAAGAATAAGATCTTGTCCAAAATTAAACAGTAAGGAAGGGTCACAACCAGGATTCTAAAGCAAGCACACTTAAAAGATTCATGTTATTTACTGCTGTTCTATTCTGCTTCCATAAGATTAGGAACTGAGACTTTTTTTTTCTCTTTTGCTTTTATTGTATCATATCTATGTATTCTTTAATGGGAAAGAGTGGGCAAGGGGCCGGGGATTTAGCTCAGTGGTTCTGCCACCTGCCTCACAAGTGCAAGGACCTGAGTTCGATCCCCAGTACCAAAAAAAAAATTGTTGAAATTGTTTACTTAAAAAAAAAAAAGAGTGGGCAAGATAACAAGATCCTCCCATCGCAGAGATTCTTACAAGGACAAGAGGACGTGTTTAGCAATATTCGTAGTTAAAAGGATGATTTGTACAATTAAAATTAAATACACATTCCAGTGTTTGCCACTTATCTTGCTAAACATATTTATCATGCAGCAGTTTTCCTCTACCAAAGTAAACTGGAATAAATCTTATTGGTACAACAAATTAAATACACTTGTAGCCCTAGGTAATAAGACTTCAAACTCTGAATTAACTAGTGGCTCCCCCATCCCAAACTGTGACCAAATTCCCTTTCCTAAGAAGGAAGTAGCATTCCAAAGGTATTTCTGGAAAGAAGACTGACAATTCTGGAAGTCATTAACTTTTAAATTTTCCAGCATGCCTCTGTGTGTGTGTGTGTGTGCGCGTGCGTGCGTGCGTGCGTGCGTGCGTGTGTGTGTGTGTGAGAGAGAGAGAGAGAGAGAGAGAGAGAGAGGAGTACAGCAGACGAATTCCTCTGTTAGTAATCTCTGGTAACTTTAAATGCTGGGGTTCGTGCTCTTCCTAATTCCAACAGTTAATTTTGGGAGGATTTCACATTTCTCTCAATGACAAATATTAGGTGTCAATATAACTAAATTAAGGAATAGCTAGAGAACTGATATGTTCCTAATACATCCCTTACATTAAGAATGAAGAAACTAAGGCTTAGCAAATAAATACAAGTGATTTGGCTAATTTAAATTATTATTTTGAGTTTGAAACATTTTGGATTTAGGGATGCTCAACCTGTAACTGGATACAGGACCGAGCAAAGTGAGGAAGGAAATCACACCAAGGATCCTAGCTTCTAGGTAGAGAATCTAGAATCAAAGTCATGATTAAAAGTTTACAGAACAAGAGACTAATAACAGCAAATAAAAGTAATGACTAAGGGAAAGGGAATGTTCAGATACTTTCATTTCAGGATTGTGACACTGAAAAAAATTTCAGATTTGCTATTTGTAGTTCCCAGGTAGAATTTGTATCAACAAATAGGGTCCACAGAACAACTGTTCCAAGTTTAACATAAGAACTGCTCAAAAAATGGAATGGGCTACTTTCCAAGGAAGATGATGAGCCTTGAGTCCCTAGACCTGCTGTAGAAAAGATTAGATGACCACTTGCAAAAAGAATTCACACTTTCTCACAGGACAGGATCTGTCCCAACCCCCAACTAAGTCTAAATCCCAAAGTCTACCCATGAGCCATACGAAATCCTTGTTCATAGCTAACAGTTTCCTTCCTTGCTTGTGAAGGGGATCACAACATGCCACCCCAAATTATGCCATTTCAGCATAAGGACCATTTAGAGCTGAGGACAACTGAAAACCAACAAATGCAGAAAGGCTTCCCATAGTTTACTTTATCTGACTAAAAGCAGAAGCTTCTAAGGAATGAAAACTGCCATTATTCCTCTCTCCCAGGGAAGGTTTCTGGCCATTGAAAAGAAAGTTGATGCTGAGATGAGTTAAATCTTCCTAAGAGAACCCGTATCTTCCATTAGTTCCCCTTTGTATTTACCTTCCCAGTTTACAGCCTCTAAAGTCCTAAAAACCTTTTTTGCTTGCTTGTTTTCACAATGTACCATTCTGTTTAAAATGATTCTTTTAGGGCCAGGGATATAGCTCAGTAGTGCCACCTGCCTGGCAAGTGCAAGGTCCTGAGTTTGATGGGGGGGGGGGGGTCTTAATACTTCTTTTCCAGGAAAGCCCCATGTCATAATAAAATGTGGTAGCCTTTTCTCTTGTTAATCTGTGTTGTCAATTTAATTTCCAGGGACCCAGCTGCAGAACCTAAGAGGATACAGAAGAGGTTTTCTTCTCCCTCTCCTACTCTTGGACTCCTTACCGGATTGGTTAGAGGTGGCCATCAGCTACAGGACTTGGGAGGCTGAGATGGGACAATCAGGAGCCCTGGAGTTCCAGACCAGCTTTGGCAACATAGCAAGACTTTCTCTCAAAAAAAAGAGAAATTGGAGAAAAAGTATCGGACTAAATTCTACAGGTGTTCATGGTTAAAGCTATCAGGACACTAGAAGTAGAACAGCCTGGGCCACATAGGGAGTACAAGGCCAGCCTGCACTACATAGCGAGAGCCTGTCTCAAAAAAAAAAAAAAAAAAAAAAAATCAGCGTGATACAGTAGTACACACCTGTAATTCTGGCACTGTAGGGGGCTAAAGCCGGACAGCAAATTCAACCCAAGACTGGGCAACTTAAGAGCAATCAAGTCTTAAAAAATGTAAAAAGAAAAGAAAAATGTAAAGAGGGCTAGGGATGTAGGTAAACGTAAAGGCCAGGGGTTCAATATCCAGTACCATAACAGGGAAAAAAATCCATTCCTTACCAGACTGGGAGTGCACCCTTTATATCCTCAGGGCCTAGAAGAGGACCTGACAAATATTAGTTATTTAAAGAATGTTTATCCCACAAAGAAGTCTGGAGTTAGGACACTTGAAATTGAACCCTAGCTCTGCCCTTTGTTACCTATGTAGGCAAGAAAATCACCTTGTTTTCAACTTAGCTTTCTTACAGTTCCCTGTCCTTTTCCCTCACCCCCTCTAGATAATACACATCAGAACTGTAAGCCATCTGCTTAGCTGAGTGGTCACAGTTCAGTAGAGGTGGTGCACTGCCCACGGTCTGGGAAAGGTCAGGTTTAAATTTAGATCCACAATATCTAACAGATAAGGTTATTGTAAGGATTTAAACACTCAGATGATTTAACGTACAGGAAAATATAGCCAATAATCCCATCCACTAAGTAATTCTCTGGTAACATTTACTTCAGTTAGCGAGATTTAATTACAGTAGAGAATAAGAACGGTTGCCTCTTAAAATAAAGATTCTCTTTACAACACAATGGGAAAGGATAAAATTAAATGACAGTTCATCGGACCATAACTCTCCGGTGCTCCATCAAGGTGAGTTTTTGCCAAAGTTGCCTGAGAGTTTTAAACACTCACCATTTGCATAGCTCAGAAGGAGCCAGTAATAGAAATAACTAGTGCTTGCACAAGACATCAGAAAAATACACAGAAAAAGAATTCGATTTTTTCCCCAAACCCTAGTTTTGTCTTTGTGGCACTACATTTCTGTAGATATATAATAGGGTCCCAAGAAGATATTCAGTCCGGTACAAAAAAAATCTTGGCCTAGTGTAAGGATTTGTTTTCCATGAACGTTGAAACTTCGTCTACGACCCTCTCCAGAACTCCGGCGGAATCAGACAAACGAAAGCGCCTCACGTCTCCGGGTCTGGGTTCAAGACAGAACCTAGGCTTCGGACGCGACCACCTCTCACCCTGGAGCCAATCACGACCCCGACCCCACGCAACCTCCAAGGAGTCCTGGGAGCAGGATCGCCGCCCCCACCAGGACGACTCTGTTGTGGTTACCCGCGGGCCGCGGAGAGGGGGGTAGGCAGACCTGAGGCTGCGCAGCGGAGGGCTGGGGGCGCGGCCGGACGCGCCTCCCGACCTCCCGCGCAAGCTTCGCGGTACCCACCCCGAGTGCTGGCAGCTGCCGGGGCTCCGGAGACCGCAAACGGAACCCGAACGGGAGCTAGGTTGTGGCGTGTTGCTAGCCGGCAGGGTCGTAGCGAGGAAGTCCGCGCGACGCTCACCTGGGAGCTGGAGCGTTCGTGGGCCCAGTCGCACACACGGACGTACAGGCGCGCCCCCCCCCCAAGCCTGCACGCGGCTCCCCGCGTCGCGCGCACGAGTCCGGAGAGCTGCGCAGGGAGCTTCCGGGGGCGGAGCGAGCGGATGGCGGGGGGCGGGGGGGTGCGCCCAAGCCGGAAGTGGTTGATGACCTCTTTTGCGGCGGCTTGGAGCGAGGTGGTGAGCGAACTCGGGAATGTAGATCGGCCATCGACGAGTAGGAAAGGAAGACTTAAAGGCGTCTGTTGCTCAGGGCATGGTCCGTGTGTTTCTGCCTCTTCCTACCTATTATGCTGTAGGATGAGTAGTTTTAGTTTTCGATAGATAACTAATTAGATAGCTAATTTGATAGAGAAGGCTGATCTGGTTATCTTTGTGATTCATTACCAACAGGACAATAATGAAAACGGAGGGCTATTGTGTGGCTTTTATATCAGCAAAGTTCATTTGAGACTTTTCCATGTTCATAGTCTGTTCTTTGCAGTCAAGGGCTACTAACACATTAGAAAGTCCTCTTGCTTTTTCTTTCTTTCTTTCTTTCTTTTTTTAGCAAAAGAAAAACCAGCTACATTTATTGAAGATGATGGGAGCAGGTCCATGGCAACAAAAAGGTGGTGTGAACAGAAAAGTGGTGCCAGAATGACAGGAAGGTAAATAGCACAGTACAGAGATAAATCAAGTCTTCGAATTTTAAAGGAAGTGCACCTTAGCCTGGGTGTTTCTCACTGGTCTTTGGGTAAGATTGACAGGAATGACTGACAAGGTGCTTAATCATCTTGGGCTTTCAATGAGCCTGTAGGTCCCAGAATTCACGCTGATTAAATTACACACAAGAAATGCAGTCCATATTTATGAACCTTTAGGAAAAGATTACTAAAGTTCAGGACAGGAGACTTAACATTCATGTGCTCTGGCCTAAAGCTTCAGAGACTTCCTGGGTCTTTGCTATTTATTTTTTTAAATAAATTATATTTTATCCCATTCCACTCTCAAGCCCCTTCCACTCCCAATGTTTCCATTTTTTTCCTTCTATTTTCACTTTTTTAGAAAGTCTTCTTTCTACTGGTAAAGGAGATGTAGTTAAAATAATCTAAAAGAAAAATGATCTCTGCTGAATATGTTGAAGGCCTTAATTCCACGTTGGGCTCTGAGGCTCACTGTAGGTATGGTAGAGTAATGTCACGCCAAAAATGTCCACCTCGTAATCCCCAGAACACATGAATACTCATATGTTAACTTATTTGGCAAAGGGGGATTTTTCAGATGTGATTAGGATGGAAATGGGAAGATTAAACCTGGATTATCCAGTGTCCACAATATAACCGCAAGAGTCCCTAAGAGGAGAGGCAAGAAGTTCAAAATCAGGGCTGGGGATTTAGCTCAGTGGTTCCACTGCCTGCCTTGAAAGTGCAAGGTCCTGAGTTCGATCCCCGGTACCAAAAAAAAAAAAAAGTTCAAAATCAGTAGCAGAAGCTTAGACACTGAAGCAGATTTGAGGAAGAGACGGGATGAAGGATGCAAGCTGCCTTGGGAGGCTGAAACAGGAGGAAATGAATTTTCCCCTGAAGAAGGGACACAGGCCTGCAGATGCCTGATTTTAGATTCCTGACCTCTGGAATCAATACAATAAATTTATGCTGTTTTAAGCTTCTAAGTTTTAGTAGTTATTTGTTACGGCAAAAATAGGACACTCATTTAGTGGGTACACAAAAATGGGACACTGATACAGGTATTCATGAAAATATAAAGAAAGGAAGTACAGATTTAACCACATATTAGGGAATCTCAGTAAAGAACTGTGTTCATTCTAAACACATTTTGTATATCTTGGATCTAACTATAAGTACTATACAGAGAACCATTTATCTGTTCTTTTTAGTGGCTAAAAGAAAGGATTTCATTCAATTCTACCTGATGAAGCCATATGGGTACTGATTTCCAGGGATAGGTTTTTACCTTGTGGTCAGAAGTTTGCTATTCAAATGACCTGAGTAGATATTCCTCCAAAGAAGATACAAAAATATGACCCAGCAGTTCTGCTGTAGGATATATACTCAAAAGAATTGAAAACAGCATCTCAAACATATCTATACACCCTCACTCATAACAGCATTATTCACAATTGCCAAAAGGTAAAAACAACCCAAATGTCCATCAACAGAGGGATAAAATACACACACAATGGAATATTATTGAAACATAAAAAAGAATGAAATTTTGATATATGCTATAATATGGATGAAACCTAAAGACATTAGATTAAGTGAAATAAGCTAAACATAAAAACACAAATATTGTATGGGTCCCTTTGTATAAGATTACCTAGAATAGATTCATAGAAATGGAGCAGAATGATGGTTCCCAGGGTTTGAGGGGAGGAGAGAATGTGGAGTTGTTTGATGGGTGCAGAAGTTCAGTACAGATTGGTGGAAAAACTTTTGGACATGGGTAGTGGTGATAATTGTATAACAAAATGAATGCACTTAATGTTGCTGAACCATAAATAAAGATGGTTAAAATAGTAAATGTTATGCGGTGTATATTTTACAATGAAAATTAAATAATTTTTAAAGTTTTAGATCTTAAAATGATTTTGACTCTTTCTTGGTGCTATGAATTTGTCTTGCCCTTGGTGTCTTAGTCTTTCAGGCTGCTTTATCAGAATTTCATAGACTTAGTGACTTTTGAGCAATAGATACTTATGTGCATGTGCATAGTTCTGGAGGCTGGGAAGCCCAAGATCAAGGTGTCAGCAGAGAAGGTGTTAGGTGAGGGCCAGGTACCTGGTTCAGAGATGGTTCCTTTATTCATATATGTCCTCACATGGTCCAAAGGGGCAAACCTCAGGCTTCTTATATGGGCACTCATCCCATTTGTGTTTGCTGGGCTCTCATGACCTAATCCCTTCCAAGCAGCCTCACCTCCTAACACACTGGTGATTACATAGATTTCAACATAAGAACTGCAGAGAGCCATGAACGTTCAGGCCACAGTAATCAGCGAGTTCTTTTCCGATGACAAATATAGTGAAATAGCAGGTATATCAGTTCAAAAATTTATTAGCCAATATGTATTTTGGAGATACTGGCTATCAAGTAGTCACAATTTATTTGCTTTATAATTTGCCAATTGCTAATATTGGATATCAAAATCTTAAGTGAGTTTGCAGTTTTTTCTTTTGTGTTATGTTTTATGTCTTGAAAATATTATGTTAACTAAAGCTAAACTATGTGAATAGGATCTTTATTACCACATTCTCAACTGGCAAAAACAGTTTTCTGTTATCTCCCTTGCCCATCTTTACTCTAGCTCTTTTTTCTGTTTCTTTCCTAATCTGGGACCTTCATAATCTGTGAGCAGATTATGAAGATTATCAGTACCAGAGACAAGAAATGTGAACTTTAATTTATTTGCAGTGGTGGATCACTAAATGTGATTTGGGTGAGCGCCAGATAATCTACCAGAAACTAATATAGTCTGTCAAATTGTGGTAGTCATTAAAGTAATAGAACCAAAAACCCTGGATAGGCCATATGATTTGGCCAAGGGGATGTTAGCAAATGTAACACAGCAACAGCTTAAAAGAACTTGTATGTTTGCATCTCTACGATTGTCCTCTGAAGTGGCCATGCTAAACCTTTAGAGGATAAGAACTCAGGGAGCAAAGAAAAGCCATTCTAATAGAGGTTTCATAGACCAAGCATCCCCTAACTCATGTGGCAGTGGTCCACAACTTCATTAGTGATCCAGAACAAGAAGAGCAGAAGTACCTAGCTGCCCCCAGCCCACATCGCTGACTCACAAAATCATAAGTGAGTAAGATGGCTATTATGGGGGAAGGGTGTAACAGTAGATAATTAACACAGTATTTCCTTGAATTTCAGGTCAACACTTAGAGAAATTGAAATGATCCTTTTTGTGATCTACCCTTGTTGATTCCTTATCTTAACACCAGCTAACTTAGTTTTCAATACTGTTCTTTGTAATTGTTTCTCTTTAAAGATTAATATATGGGAAGTAGAAAGATGGCAAGTTTGACCCCAGCCTGGGCCACTTAGCAACTTAGATAGATCCTGTTTTAAAATATAAAATAAAAGATGGGCTGGGGATATAGTTCATTGCAAAAATACTGGGTCCAGTCCCAAGTAGAGCCAAAGAATTTCTGAAAAGATTAATATGAGGGCCAGGGATTTAGCTCAGTGGCACCGCGCCTACCTCATAAGCTCAAAGTCCTGAATTCTATCTCTGGTACCAAAAAAAAAAAGATTAATATGGAAGCATTTCTGCCTGTTTTCCAATATGAATATTTTTACTTAATACAGAATCACATTCACTATAACTTATATATGTTCTAAAAATTTTATTCAGAGATAACATTTTCCTCTAAGCAATACTAAAGTATGTTTCCTTCAAGTTTTAGCATTGTACTGTTTGCTTTTATGGTATTTTATGACTTCCTTTTTGAAGTTTGCCAATCATTTTACCTTCTTCTTCCTCCCTGCTCCTTATATATTTACCTATTTATATCTCCCTGTGTATGTACTGGACTTTGCTTCTGAGCTTATAAGAAAAAGAAATTAACTGACTTAAGTCTTGTTCTAGTCTTCCAGTAAATTAGTAGAAGACACTAGGATGCTATCTAGATTTTTTTGACTCTTGTCAATGTCTTTATTCATAAATTTCGCCAAAGTGGTCAAAGGCAAACATTGGTTTTCTCTTCAGTGCTGTGACTACCTCTGAGGTGGGCCAAGGGACTTAGGAAGATGCATCACACACTTAGACAAAGATGGGATGTTATATGCCTGCTTACATGACCAGTATTTTTAAATGACCAATTTTTTCATTTTTTATCTTAATTTTATAATTAGGAGTTAAGGCAAATGCCATTTCCATCTTAGACAAAAGAATAATGAAGATAGCCTTACAGAGCATCCAATTACAGCATGTCAGAATGCACTGGCAATAAGGAATATAAGTAAGGTTTCCCTATTTAACTTGCCTATTAAGACTCAATACTGATTACTGGGAAGGAACATCTAGAGGGTAATTTAAAAACTGATTTATGACCTTTTCTCAGCTTCTGGTCCAGTTATTCTGGTCCAGTTATTCTCATTTAACCCGTTAGCTTGCTGTCCTCTCAGGGTTCCTCAAGTGATGCACACACTAGAGGACCAATTTAAGTAAATGTATGAAGTGTCAGTGCTGTCTAGGCAGCATTATAACATGTTGCTTTGATGTAGTTTTATGTACTTTTCTCCAGCTCTGCATTACTCCTAGGAACAAGGTACTGATGTACTGGAAAGATCATGGTACTGAGTTATAGACCTGGACACTCAGTAAATGTCAGGGCAGTTTTCCCTTTTCTTATTCAAGTTATAATCTCTTGATATTTGTCAGGTGGTTAGCTAAGGTGCTGCTCTTGCCACATAGCTGTAAAACTAAACTCTTTTAAGCGTGGAACACAGGACTTAGGCTCAAGGACTTAAACCCTGTTTTATCTCCTCTGTAATATGAGATAACCAAATAACAGTTTTCCTAGAAGTACTATGGTATAGTCGTTAAATATACAAGCTCTGAAGATAGCTCATATGGAGTGATAACCTAATCCTAGCTCTCATATTCATTAGCTTTGAGATGATGAACATGTTAATTTTCTTCCTGTTCTTCAGTGTCCTCATGTATTGATGGAGATAACAGCATCTCTAAGGGTTGTTGTGAAGATGAAGTCTGTTGAGTGCTTAGAACAGTACCTGATACACAGTAAGCATCAGCTACTATTATTGTGAGCTAGGGGTTGAAATCAGAAAGTGCATATAGACCAGTGATGGTGAACATTTTAGAGCTTTCAATGACACAAACAGTACAATGTGGCACATGTGCCATAGGTTCACCACGACTGATATAGACCCTGGCATGTAGGTAATAAAAAAATGTTGATATTATTATGCTTTGAAATAATTTGGATTTGTGGGGTACACTTTGAGGACCCGCAATGGCATTAATATTAACTACTTTATAGGCAAAAGGGCTTTTTCAAAATGTTATACTAGTTTTATTTTTTAAAAAAGGAGAGGAGACTAAGATAGTAGTTACTTCTTTTGATGTCATCGACGTGGCATGGCAATGATATATATGGTATGAGGTACTCATTATGTCCTTACTTTTGACTTACAAGGTATGACAGAAGGAAGTACCCCATGAATTCCAATTAATATTTGAAGCAGAAAAACTTTATAAAAATGAAACGTGAATACATTTGTTTTTCCATAGACAAAACAATGCATTTGTATATCATTGTTTTAGAAATAAATGTTACGGATCATTTCTAGACCTCTTCATCTTCCATTTGAAATCCATGTGCCATTTCAGGAAATTTTATTTTATTTTTATTTTTTCAGTATCAAGAATCCAACTCAGGACTTTGCACTTTCCAGGCAGGCCCAGTGCCACTGAGCTACATCCCTGGTCCAGGAAGATTTATTATTAAGGCATGGAATGAATATGTAGGTTGGCTGTATATACTGGTGGATACCAGTGTCTTTTCTTTTGAATAATAATCTTCTGGGTATGACTTTGTTTAAAAAGAATAAACATCCACTGGGGATTTAGCTCAGTGGCACCATGCCTGCCTTGCAAGCACAAGGTCCTCAGTTTGATTCCTGGTACCAAAAAAAAAAAAAAAAAAGATAAACATCCACTAAATACTTTGGTTTACTTGGTGTAAATGTTTAATTTTTCCTTTGTTGAAATGACATAGAAATAATACTTAAAGATTAATGATTCCTTATAGAAAAACACAGCATAGTCATGGTATCTAAACATACTTTTTTTTTAAACATACTTTTTAATGGTTTTCTTATATCCTCCCTGGAAAGCAGAATATAAATCCATTTATTGGAAAACAATACAAGTTTTAAAATACTGAGATTCATTAGAGTAACATGGAGACAGCTCCTAGGCCCTTGTCTTTCAATGTTTCCCATATCCTTATCTTTCTCATGCTTTCTTCTTCTATAATATTTCTTCCCTTCCTTCTTTCTATTCTTGATTTGCCCTTAATTTTTGTTCCCCTTCAATTCTGGGGATTGAACCCAGCGCCTTTTCAGTGAGCTACATTCCCAGACATTTTTATTTTTTGAGACATGGTCTCCCTAAGTCGACATTACCCAAGATGGGCTTGAATTAGAGATCCTTCTGCCTCTTCCAGAGTGCTGGGATTATAGCCATGTGCCACCATACACCGCTCATGCTTTTTAAAAATAATAATTATTATTTTTGGGGGGGGTACGGGGATCAAACTCGGAACCTTACGCTTGCGAGGCAGGCAGTGGAACCACTGAACTAAATCCCCGGCCCCTAAAAAAATAATTATTAATCTCTACAGAATTACTTTATTTCTATTACACTATACATTAAAAATACATATGCTGCCTTATTGGTGTTAGCGTTACCGTAATTGCCAATATTTATGTAGCACATTGGCATCTATCTTCTCAGCAAGCATCATTTGTATACTACCAGCTGGGACCATGATAGACGAGGCAAATATGTACTCTAAACAGTACTTGGACCACTCTTGTTTGCGTGGGTAACAGCTTTTGTACTGAGTAGTTGGCAACAGAAACACAGAACTGGAGCCAATCTGACGATGGCAGCTGTGTACACCCTTTGGCACCAACCTGTCTTCTTTGGGCCTCTCCTTAACTGGAAAATCGCAGGCTTCCTTTACTCCCCGAATTTGTGTGACTCTCTTTACTTCAAGGCCTCCGGGTGGGAAAAAGGAAGTTATTAGCACGAAAAACTTGAAAGTGAGAATTCTTAGCAGGTTACTTGTAGGTGATGAGCGGAGAGAGAAAATTGAGGGATCACCTGAGTTAAAAGAATTACACATACTTCGGACACCTGGAGCAAAATTTTCCATCAACCAAGGGCACACTGGGGGAGTGAAGCACGGCAGCGCGGGAAAGAGCAGTGTTAGCCGCGGTTGTTTACCCCCCCACACCCAGCCTGCTGGACCCCGCCCCCCCGGCGTGGGTGGGCGGTGGGCGGCCCCTCCCAGCTGTCACTCAGCGGTCGCGGCGTCTCCGCCCCGGGCCCGACACGCACTCTGGGCCGCCTCCGCCCCGCCCGCGTCAGGCCTCGCGGGCTTCAGTCACAACACTGCCGGTCACCTGGGCGCGCCCGGCCCGGCGCCGGCTGGCGGCGCTAAGGGGGTCGCTGGAAGCGGCTCGGCGGCGTCCGTGGGAGCCATTCCTTCCGAGGGCCACCGGCGAGGGCTTGAGCGCTGGCTCCCCCTGCTTCCTGAGCCGCGGCGGGAGCGGCCAGACGAGGAGGCACCTCGCTGAGGCCACTGTCCGGGCCAGCGCCGGGGGACAACGCGACGGGAGATGTGCCTGTCCTTAGCGGCCCAGGCAGCAGCATGCACCCCGATGCCACCGACAGCAACGGCGCCGGCGGCCGCCCTGCCACGGACTCTGCGGGCGAGCAGCGGGGTGCCCGGGGCCCGGGCGGCGGGAGCTGGCAGATGCCGGTGGCTGTGGCCGCACTCGCCGCGGTGGCCCTCTCCTTCCTGGGGCCCGGCTGCTGGGCAGTGGCGGGGGGAACGGGGCCGGGCACCGTCCTGCTGCGGCTCAGCTTGTACCTGAGCTGCGCCGCGGCCGCCTTCCTGCTGGGGACCCTACTCGCCCTCGTCTACCGGAGCCCGCGCGCCCCGCCGCCCGACTTCTCTGCTGCCTGGAGCCGAAGGGCCGCCCGCCGCCCTCTGGGGGTGAGTACGGCTCCGCTGCTCCCCACTCCCCGCTTCCGGTGCGATCCCCCTCCCGCCTCGGTTTGCCCTCCTCCTCGGCCCAGGCCCCCTCCTCGAGACCCGCAGTGGGGGTTTGCCGAGCGAACTGCGCGGTAAGAGGCTCTGGAGTTACTCATCCACTATCCTCGGTCACCCTCTCGGCCGCAGATTGATGTCAACTCCTTGATGTTGCTGTGCAGTTAGTGAGTACCCGGAAAGAACCGAGCGCGACATTCACTGTGTCCAGCACCACACTCAGTTTAGGCGAGACTGCTTGGTTTTTGGAATGGTCCTCGGTGGGAGGTAACTTCATTACCATTTACAGCAGAGGAAACTTGGTTACTCCCTCGCCCTGTACCTCCCCGCTGCCGAGGCCCCCACGCTTCCTACCGCTTCATCTTCCACCATGTTGATAAGTATCAGTGCAGCTTTGTCTGGTGTCTGTGATGTAAAGAGGACACCCGAAGACCACTGTTGCTTACAAAGAAAGGAAAGCTGTCCTCAGGAGGGTCTGGGACATTAGGATTGTGGTTAGGGAAGATAGGAAAGAACTGTATTTTAAATGAGCTTTTTTCCCTTCCTCAGTGCCAAATCCATTACTTTTCCTATCTCCTGTCTGCTTATAACCCTTTAAAAAGAACTTAATTCTATGGTACTTTGACCAGATCACTGCTTGACTGGGTGATACCATCATTAAGCTGAAATTGCCCAAGCACTTTGGGGTCAGGGAAATGACAGTGGTTCTGCTTCTTAAGAATGTTAGAGTGAAAAAAGCATCACACTTCATCAGAATGACTCTCCTCAGTGTCTGCTGATGTAGAGTGGCTTGCTGGAATAATGACTGAAAGATTGTAGGCAGGGCAGGGCAGGCATCCACTCAGTAGGTTGATAAGCAATTCAGTGTAATAAGGGATTGGAAACTTGTTTACAAGTAGTCTCAAAAATCAGTAATGTTTGTTTCTCTTAAAAACATTCACTTAGCTGTCAGTTTTTTCATTTCTAATTTAACAAAAGTTGATGAGCAGGTGTTCTTCCTTTTTTTTCAACAGTGATAAGAAGATCTCACCATTTTACCAGTCTATAGATTTTTAAAAGATATCCCAGTTGTTAATATTGTTAAGAAGTTATAATTCATTCATTACAAATTTATTGAGCATCTTGTATGAACCAAGTCCTACCTGTATTTTGGAAGCCGAAATTGAAAAAAAAAGACACGCAAAAATCCTCCTGTCTGGAGATTATATTTTTGTTGACCAGATGTAAAATAAATGAGATCGTTTGGGGTAGTGATAAATGCTTATGAAACAAAAAGTCATTATGAGTTAAGTGATTGAGAGTGACTAATAGGTGGGAGGAGGACATTTACATGGTGAGGTTAGGGTCCAAGTCAGGGAATTTCTGCTCACCTCTGAGGGCCTGGAAACTTCATGATCTGGCTTAACACTCTGCTTCCTAAAAATACTCTGCTTCCTAAAAATTACATTCTCCCAGGACACTTGTACCTCTGCATAGGTAGAACTTGGATTATCATATTGAAAGATGGTTTCATATAAAAATTTTAAAAGATACTACTTTAAAGGTGGCAGAGAAAATGAATAGCATGTATAATCTCATGCATAGTAGTAACCTTAAGATTTCAGATAAGAGGTGAAATACAACCTAAACAAAGTGATTATTGGTTATTCTTTTTGAACTTGAATCCCTACATTAGCTTTAAATAGGCAAATAAGTAATTAGGAAATTAGTTGTAAAGTTATGTATTACTTAGCACTGACATGTGTGTTATTCATACAAAATTCTATTTTCCTTACTGTTCTGATGCTATTTTCTAAAGTCTCTAGTTTGCAGTATTTGCAATAATTTGTGTGTTTTTTAAAAATTTTCTTCTTTATGAATGGAAGGATGAGAAGCATAGCATGTGGTGTAGTATAAAATATCTCAGTTTTGTGGGGGTAGGAGCTGGATCACACAGGTCATTTAACACATGAGGAAGGGGGCATCTGTTTAGTGGTGAACCAAATGGAGCCTCTTAGTATACAACAGGGACTACTACAGAAATTTGGATTTGGCATGAAGAAAAGAATGCTCTTTGATTCATACACAATACATTTTGAATTCCTGTCTGAGGTATCTAAGCATCCTTCCTTCTTTTTGTAAAAAAAAAAAAAAAAAAATTTTGGCTTCCTTCTATGAAAGAAAAAAATGCACATATATGTTGTTATTGATAGGTAGCTAGAGAAGCCTGAAATAAAAAGGTAGAAGTGTTTTCATGTCTAGAAGTGTTCTAATGCTTCTGAATGCTTCACAGTATAGTTATCAATTGTAAACTCCATTTGTGTTAGGGTCTATTAGTGACAGTTTTTGTTATCCCATGCATCTAGTAGGATCTCAGGGCTCCTCAAGTGTTTGCTGATGATAATGAAGAAAATTGGGTCTGTTTCTGGTCACTAACCTAGTGCTCCACCCTCTCCCATAAATCTAGTATCTTTCAGGCATCCTTAAGTCCACAGATTTAGATTTTACTTTGTTAGGAGCCAGTGTTGATTAAAAGTAGTTTTCATCCCAGATAGAAATTCCATCCTAAATGTCCAGTGATATTTTCAAGTACTAGAAAATTTTTGTGCAAGAACAACAGCAAGGTTGACACTAAAGTTTTGAGAGTTGCTCTTTTGGTCTCCACTTTAGAAAAACTTGGACTTTTTTGCATGCCAGCAGACTGGAGCTGAGTTGATCTGGGGCTAGTCTGCTCCTGATATGATAGTTGTTAGCCCAGCTTTGTTGCATAGGCTGTGATAGTATGTGTTCCTAGTCCATGGTTATACTTTGGTATCGTACCAGGCCAGTTAACTTGCTTGGCCTGAGCCTCAGATTTACTTGCCACAGTTACTTCATCCTAGAACTTGATCTATCTAAGGCAAGAGTGAATCAGTAGTTTAGGAAAAGTTATTATAAGACCAGCGATTCAAAGTACTGTACATCTTCTTAGGCTGGGGATATAGCTCACAGGTAGAAAGGCTGCTTAGCACATGCGAAGATCTTGGCTCAATGCCTACTACAGAAGGAAAAAAAAAGGCTACATCTTCTCATAAAAGAAAAAGAGTAAGTTATGTCTTACATTTTGAGGATAGGAAGGTAAGAGAATAACTTCTCTGTCACAGTTTATGAATTTTCCTCTTGTATGAATTGACTACTTTTAAAATATTGTAAACCGAAAATTTATAATTGTATATGTAGGGTATAAGTAATGTCATGATTCATAAGTACAATGTGGAGTAATTATGCTAACATATCCATTGCCTCAAATACTTAACATTTTTTACTCTGGATGCTTCTTGGTTTATTCTTCATAAGTTCAAAATAAATAAACAATCAGTGAGGGTTGGAGAACTGGTATAAGAAAGTATACAAAAGTTGTATGACTAGTAGCACGTAGGAAACTAAAGACCCTGGCCATGTGAAGAAAACGCTAATGAAAGACTTCAGAGTTCAGCCAGATAGTTCAAGAAGTTATCTAATCTAATTAATATGAGATACATGGTCAATATCTGGTACATATCTCATATTCTGATCTTGTTAGCTAATTTTCTGCATAGCTAGTTGTTCAGTACCAGTGCCAGGCATATAGTATGCTCTCAACAGGTAGTGCTTTTTTTCCCCTCTATATTGAGGATTGAACCCAGGGCCTTGCACGTTCTGTACCACTGTACCTGTGCTGTCCCTCTGTAGCATATCAGCTCAAATAGGTGGATTTTGATGAAAACAAATTTTAAGTATATAGCTGTCATTTTCAGGTTTGAAATTTCATCCAGTTATCTAAGGAAGGGTCAGAGCCTTGCATTAAATAACACATAGAGCTTGAGTAATTGTGTTTTTTATAAGTACATGGCACTGTTTTTAATGGTATTGAGGAGGATTCAGAGGTGAACAAGAATGCTCCCTGTCCTTGCCCTCTCAGGCCCTGTAGATTAGACTGATAGAGAAAACTGGATGAGAAGGCAGATGTTTATAGACAGTAAAAACATTCACAAAGCAGTTGACAGCTGTAGTTGGCTTGAGTCAGACTTTCAGAATTCCTAAATGGGTCCTTTTACTAATACAGATGTTCTTTGAGTAAAACAAATTTAATTTAGTTATTTGAGGGTAAAGAGAAAAGAAACAGGAATTAGGAAGATTATACATAGCCTCTTTGTTGCTTGCCTTTATTATGTTAATATGATCAACTAATCCTCAATAATTTGATAATGAATAATGCGTAATATATTTACTGCGGAATGTTTGTAGAAATTTTAAATAAGGCTTTTAAGTCATGGTGGCGAGTGAGAAAAATACACCTATTCTCTGTGGTATAAGAACTATCATACTGTAAATTCATAGTATTCATAATTTTTAAATTTAGTAGGTTATATAATCATATGATTAGTAACATTAAGGCATATAGAAAGGTAAATGTGAAAAAATTATCTCCCTTTCCTAAAGACAGTCACTAATAATAGTTGCTGTTTTTTCTTCCAGATATATTTTATGCATATACAAACAAATATAAATGTATTTAAAACATTTATGATACCTATAATCTTTTGATTTATAAACGGTGATTACACATAAAGGAAAAATGCTTATTTTCTCTGTCTCCCCTTGGGAAGGAACTCTTCCTCAGGGATGGTAAACATTAAGATGAAGTTACATACGAATAGTGATAACTGCATGCAACGTAGGAAGATCCAGTAGATGGAAGATAAAAAAAAAAAAATCAGCCAGAAGGAGCAAATGAATCCTCAGAAATGAGAAAAGTATGTACTTGAATTTGGCAAACTGTCTGAAGGAAGCAATATATATTTTCATAATTTCTTAAAAGAATCCTCAAAACTGTTTTAGTGACAGGGTACACGTCACTAAAGGGTACATTTGAGATTTGAGTTGCCAGTTAGTGTCTGAGATGAGTCACAGGAGCCAGGATTGGAAAGGGAATTTGACCAGGTTGT